TATTCTTGCCTTAGGGATCCTTATGAAGAAGCTTACACATCTTAGTATACACATGATTTGCTGAATACCTTATATTTATCCATCATAATCATGATGCACAAATTGAATTCCTTTGATTCAACTCTTCCACAGCTATATCTCTTATCAACCATCTTTCTGGACGTAGGCATCGTCGTATTATGAATAAGATAAAGTTTAGGAAATTGAGTTCTTACAGCTGAGCTCTACCACACGATCTAGAGTAAAAAGAAAGAGTGACAGTCCTAAATTCCCTGTAGCCTCCAGCTTATAAGTGTTGTGCACAACACACCCATAAACAAGACTCTACTAGACACGGCTTGTAGACTCCCTAGGACAGAACTGCTTTGATATCACTTTTGTCACGACCCAAAGCTATAGGCTGCGACGGGCACCTGGTAACTTACTCAACCGAGTACCAACATAATATATCATTCTTATCGTACTTTCATAGGCAGATGGGCCAAACAGGTTATCATGGGCACCCGCGCTCACTGGGGGTGTGCAGACTCCGGGAGGGGACCCTTATGTCCCAAACGCAATATCAAGCCATCTCATGGCATAATCAGTAGGCTCTCGGCCTCATATCAACAGGCCACCTCATGGCGTACAATCTCAGGCCCTCGGCCTCATAATTATAAATCAGTGTATCCTTACAACATAGGCCCTTGGCCTTACTCAGTCAGAATCTCATAAGCCACTTAGACTGACTACGACGACCTGAATGACCACCCCAAAAACTCTAGAGTGGTGGTGCACTGATAGGAGCTGGTGGTGCACTGTAGGGCTGCTGATCAGAATACTACATATGAGAACCACGGCCACCCGAAGCACCATGAGAAACCTGAAATGCTGATCGAAAGGGCCTAGGAGGATGGCCTCTACCATACGAATCCCTGCCTCCAGACGAGGCACCACTGAATCTGCCTGAATGACGGGGCTTCTTGTCCGACCCATGACCACCTCCCTGCGATAAAACCATCTCAACTCTCCGGGCCACATTGGCCGCTTCCTAGAAAGATATCTCACTCCCAGCATCCCTAGACATCTGAAGACGAATCGGCTGAATAAGTCCATCAATGAACCTCCTCACCCTCTCTCTCTCAGTGGGAAGTATGATAAGATCATGACAAGCCAAGTCGATGAATATGGTCTCATACTGGGTAACAGTCATAGAACCCTGTTGGAGACGCTCAAACTACCTCTGATAGGCCTCTCTCTAAGTGATGGGGAGAAACTTCTCCAGAAATAGCTGAGTAAACTGCTCCCAAGTCAAGGCTGGTGATCCGGCTGGTCTAGCCAAACAATAGTCTCTCCACCAAGTCTTGGAGGATCCCGACAAGCGAAAGGTAGCAAAATTGACTCCATTTGTCTCAACTATCCCCATGTTCCTAAGAACCTCATGACAGCTGTCTAGATAATCCTGGGTATCCTCAGAAGATGCACCGCTGAAGGTAGTAGTGAAGAGCTTGGTGAACTTGTCCAATCTCCACAAAGCATCAGCAGACATAGCTGCTCCATCACTGGTCTGAGCTACCACACCCGGCTGAACTGCTCCAACTGGATAAACTGCTGGAGTCTGAAACTGGGGAGTTACCTGCTCCGGAGTGCGAGTAGCAGGAGTTTGGGCTCCTCCTCCAGCCTGAGAGACGGCTGGTGCTACAGGAAGCAAGCCTGCCCGGGTAATACTCTCCATAAGGCCCACTAGACGGACCAGAGCATCCTGGAGTACTGGGGTAGCAATAAACCCCTCTAGGACCTGAGCTGGGCCTATCGGAACTGCTGGGGCCGGAATCTCATCATCAAAGTCAACCTGAGGCTCCGCCACTAGTGTTGTTTCTCTAGGCTGAGCTCTGCCCCTTCCTCGGCCTCGCCCTCTACCCCTCGTGGGAGTTGCTGCTGGGGGCTCGGGCTATTGGGCAGTGGATGAGGAAGAACTTGTTCTCGCCATCTGCGAAAGAACAGAGTAGAAATTCAATCAGCATTAAGAAACCAAACCGCACGACATGAAGGAATAAATGTGAAGTTTTTCCTAACATTGTAGCCTTTGGGGGATAAATACACACGTCTCCGTACCGATCCCTCAGACTCTACTAAGCTTGTCTGTGAACTGTGAGACCCATGTAACCTAGAGCTCTGATACCAACTTGTCACAACCCGGATTTCCCATCCTCGGGAGTCGTGATGGGACCTACTAATGTGAGCTAGGCAAGCTAATTATTGAACAAATTACCTTTATCTATTTTTTTTACCCTTTTAGCATTTATAAAGCAATAATGTAAAAAACAACGAAAATTTCATTAAGCGGAAGAAATGTAGTAAAATATCTGAAATATGAATCTAATACAACTCTTTAAGCCTTAATCACCCAGAACTGGTGTCACATTACCACAGATGATCTAAGAGTTCTAAATACAAAGTCTGAAAATAAAGATACACTCTTTTCGAATCAAAGAAATGAAACAGGAAATAAAGGATAGAGGAGATGTCAGGGCCTGCGGACGCCTGCAGGTCTACCTTTGATCTCCACGTGGACTGAAGGTAGCCACCCAAATGCTATGGTCCAAGAGCTGCTCCGGGATCTGCACATAGTGCAAAGTATAGTATCAACACAACCGACCCCATGCGCTGGTAAGTGCTTAGCCTAACCTCGACGAAGTAGTGACGAGGCTAGGACCAGACTACCAAATGAACCTGTGCAGTTATATAACAAACAACAGAAAATAAAAACAGAAATAAACAAGTAAAGATGGGAGGGGGGTACATGCTGCGGGGATGTATCAATATCAATAGTAAATCAAGAGTAACGGCATAAGGAAAACTTAGAATTCACGGCAAAACAATAAGAAACTTATATCCAATCTGTAAACACTTTGTATCAACAATTGTTGCGGCGCACAACCCGATCCCAATATATATCAATACTGTTGCAGCGTGCAACTCGATCCATATTATTTATTACTGTTGCGGCGTGCAACCCGATCCGTATATATCATTGTTGCGGCGTGCAACCCGATCACATATAATATTGTTGCGACGTGCAACCCGATCCACATATAATATCGTTGCGGTGTGCAACCCATTCCACATATAATATTGTTGCGGCGTGCAACCCGATCCACATATACCATCAACAACAATCACAACAAGAGTCCCGGTAAGGGAGAAATAGCTATAACCAAACTTGTTCCAACACCTATCTACCTTAGCTAACACCAATACTCAGTCATAAGTAATTTCCACGAGAATAACCATAATCCTTGCTCAATTCAGAGAATCATCAACTTAAGCATCCGTAGTATTATTCAGGAACACAATAAATCACAATTTAAGACTCACGGTCATGCTCGACACCAACGTATAGATACTCGTCACCATGACTATACGCCGTACTCCACAAAAAACAAGTAGCAAATAGGACACAAATCCTAATCCCTCAAGCTAAGGTTAGACCAAACACTTACCTCGATGCCACGAACACAATTCACATTTCAATTATTTCTTTACCCCTTGATTCCACTACCAATTCGCTCGTATCTAGCCTCAAGTTACTTAATTACATTAAACGCTAAATGAATCAACCCCAATATATAAAAATGAGTTTTCCAAAGTTTTACCCAAAGAGTCAAAAAACAATCGCCCTCGGGCCCACATGGTCAAAACCCGAGGTTCGAACCAAAACCCGATTACCCATTCCCCTACGAACCCAAATATGTAATTTATTTTGAAATCGGACCTCAAATCGAGGTCCAAATCCCCAATTTTTGAAAAACCTAGGTTCTACCCAAAACATCCAATTTCCCCCATGAAAATCATTGATTTTGGGTTGAAATCATGCTAAAAGATGTTAATGATTGAAGAAAACGAGTTAAAATTGACTTACAATCGATTTGGAAGAAGAGTTGTTCTTGAAAAATCGCCTTAGGGAGTTTGTGTTTTGAAAGGATGTGAAAAATGGTTGATTTTAGGCTAAGTATAAAAATTGCATGTTGCAGGTATGAGAATTGCGAATAGGGATCGCAATTGCGAACCCCGACCTCTGTTAGGTTCGCATTTGCGAAGGGGGTTCTCGCATTTGCGAGTTGGAAAATACAAACAAAGGATCACATTTGCGACTACTGGCTAGGAGGGGAGGCATCGCAATTGCAAGGTAGTTGGCCTGGGCCTTTGATCGCATTTGCGATGAGGCCTTTGCATTTGTGAGCCAGGCTTCGCAAGCCTGCAGGCCTGCAATACATCAGTTCAAAATCTGCAACATCCTAAGTCAAAATTCCACTCCGTGGCCTATCCAAAACTCACCGAACCCTCGGGGCTCCAAACCAACCATGCACACCAACCTAAAAACATCATACGGACTCGCTCGTGCATTCAAATCGCTAAAATAACATCAACAACTATGAATTTAATATCAAAACCATGAAATTTCTCAAGAACTTCAAAATTTCCATTTTTCTCAAATATGACCCGATTCACATCGTTTCAAGTCCGTTTCTTACCAAATTTCATAGACTTATCTTAAATCACATATAAGACATGTACCGGGCGCCGGAACCAAAATACGGGTCCGATACCATCGAATTCTAAATGCATTTCATTTCCAAAACTCATAGAAATTTCCAAAAAATAATTTTCTTTAAAAATTCATTTCTCGGGCTTGGGACCTCGGAATTTGATTCCGGGCATACGCCCAAGTCCCATATTTTTTCACAGACCCTCCGGGACTGTCAAATCATGGGTCTGGGTCTATTTACCCAAAATGTTGACCGAAGTCAACTTAAATACATTTTAAATCAAAATTTCAACATTTTCACATAATAGCTTTCCGGCTACGCGCCCGAATTGCACACACAAATCGATGTGAGACAGAAAAAGGTTTTTAAGGTCTCGGAACGCAAAATTCATTTTAAAAACAGGTGATGACCTTTTGTGTCGTCACAAATATATACTTGCATAGTGGGACTAAAAGTTAAAGCAACAACATATGAATTTGCTAAACCAAAGAAACTTTCTTATTCCATAGTGATGATGAGAAATCTCAATCAATAAAACAAGTTCACTAACACCAATGAGGTGCGTGGAATTCGAAACCCTAACCAAAAATAAATCACAAATTACTAAGGTTTTCACTTATGCTTAATAAAAGCATAGGGAAACACTTAAAAGAGATGCAAAAAATGAAAGCAAAGATGAAATGAGAATATAATGGTGTTTCAGTTCTCTCTCTCTTTTCACTTTTTGTCTGATCCAATTCCAAGAGTGTTCTTCACTCCATCAACTGCACCTTGAGCCATGTGAATCATTTGTTCTCCAGTCTAAATTAAATACAACAAAGAAAAATAACTTGTGATATGTTATGAGTTTTTTTTATTTAAAAAAAAAAGGAACTAGAAGCTTTTGAGTATATTAATAGTTTTTTTAAGGATTTAACTCATGTATATACTAACAGTTTAAAGTATTTCTACACTGCACTATCCGTGTATTTTAATCCGTTATAGTAAGGAAATCTTACTTATCCCAATTTTATGGTAATTAGTTATTTGTAATTATATTCTACGTGACTTGACTGTGTAAAATTCTTCTATGAGTAAGTTCTTGTGTCATCCAAAGTGACTGACTGAGTTCCTTATCCTTTACTTTAGTTTACGTGACCTGAACCTTCAACCTACCGATTGATCTACGAGGTGCCCTATTACTGGAGAAAACTTGTGATATACCAAATTAGCAGCTAAAATATAGATTTCTCATAGATAAATTACCTGCTGAAGGAATCCAGGATTCTGGTCTTTGTTTTGTTGAGCTGATTCATGAGCACTTTGGGTAGCATTTTCAGCCTTGTCAACCATTGAATGTGCTGTACTCTTGGCTGAATCTGCCATTTGCTCTGTCTTGGCCTATTTTTTCATCAATTACAATAATGTAAAAGATGCAGTAGAGAACAAGAAGAAAAAAAATCCTAAAAGTATATAATACGTATTCCACAATTATAAAGGATTTTGCCAAAGCTTTTTATTTATTTATATTCATAGGAGATCAAAAAGAATGAAAGGGACAAGGGACAACGAGAATGAAACATACACATATTGCGTTAGACAGACATGATTTCATTAAGAAAATTCGAAAAATACACCTGTATACACTCTATATATATATATATATATATATTCACAAAAATTTATTTATATACACAGTGTAATATAATTACTAATGATTCTACTGGGCTATAAGTCTAGGTAGTCAAAAAACAATTTTTATTTGTAACGACTATTAATTGCATGTAGTATGAAGTATTACCTGAGCTTGACCGTGGGACTCACCGGCTTGTTGAGCACTTGACATTTTGATTATTGATCTGAAGGAATTTTTTCCAGAAAAAATAAATAGATATTTGAAAACTTTACTTTTAATTTGAGCTTGGTAGATATTTGTTGAATAACTTATAGGTTAATTGGACCTATTTATAGAGAGACTATTGGTTTAGTTGATTGATGATCCATGTTTTTCTGCTTTTGACTGGGTTTCCTGTGGTTAACTTAGTGTAAAAATTAGAAAAGGAACTTCAACCACCCAGTATAATCCTACTTAGTAGGGATTAGGGAGGGTAGTGTGTACGCAGACCTTATCTCTACCCTGGGATAGAGAGGCTGTTTCCAAATAGACCCCCGGCATCCTTCCCTCCAAGAACTTCCCACTTTGCTCTTGGGGAGACTCGAACTCACAACCTCTTGTAAAGGAACTTATACAATGACTCTAAATATAGCATTAATTTATCTTTAAAAAAAAGTAAAATTATGCACTTACATCGAGTGTGCCACAAGATCTAATACTCATTAATTGCTTGCACAGTAAAAACAAATCTCGAACCACAAGTTTAATCAGAGCCCCTTATATGTAGGAAGGTGTTAGTTAAAAGGAATAAACTCTGAAAAATATAGTAAATCAAGAATCATAGAATGAAAATTCTAAGATTAGAATTAATAGGCACTGGTACATAAATAAGTTGATTTATTAACAAAATAGCAAATTCCGAACTGATGTTAATATTGATACTTGGACAGAAACCTTTTAATTTGATTTGGTGTTAGTGTGACTCAAACTTAGATGTTACTGTTTGCAACAAATTATTTGTGATACATAATAAATTGCAACCACAATATAACTATGAAGAAACATAATGTTATTGATAAAATGATGCGGGTACAATTCTATTTGTTCTCTTAATTCTTCTCTAGATCGTTCTCTGTGATTCGAGTGTTTAACCAACGTATTTCTCGAATGTAGGATGATGCAGACCTCCTGGGGATGTATTTGATCTCCAGCTTCTTGAATTATTTGATTGTCAAGAAGTATTCGGCCATGTTTTGATCTCTTTGTGAATATCTCAAGAGTTTATGGGATTTTGAGACGATCTCCATTTTTTGAGATGTTTATTTAAGGGATTATGTAACCCTTTTTATAGGAGTGAGTCAGGGCTAGGCTAGAGTAGCCCCAAGTTAGGGTTTTGGTAGAGTAACCTCCAAGCAACCCTGATAGACTCCTAGAATTTCAAGAGTCTGTCTTGTAATATCTTGAATTTTGGATTTAGCTTGATCCATTAAAATTTCGATGTTTACAAATGACCCTATTTCAAGGTTTATCGGGGTGTAGGCTTGCTGAAACTTGAAGACGTGACTTGAAGTACCCGACCATCACAATAGATAATCTTGAAACTTGCAGTTTTCGATTTGCAGGAGGAAGAGATGAAGCGCAGAACTGGTCCCACTGGGCGTGCCAGAATTTGTAGACAATAAATTGCATAGAGAAAATAAAATCAAGACTGAAAATATCGCAACAATCGTAGTATTTTATTTCAGAAATTGAGTGTTACAATCTCTATAAATCCTTTGATTCTTCTTTCCAATTGTAAATTCAAGGGCCTTTGAGCTTGATCTTGAATCTATGTTTGTTGCCACGAACGATGATCTTGTTCTTGAGCTTGATTGCTTGAACTTGACCTTGATTTGTTCTTCGTTTTTGAGCTTGAACTTGATTTCTTGAACTTGAACTTGAAGCTTGAAACTTGTAGAGAAATTTGCGGTGTTTGATCCACGAGCTATCTCTTGCTTCTTGTTATAACTTCTGGTGTCTTTTTGAGTTATGAAGACCCCTATTTATAGTTGTGGGAGGGAAGAATTATGATAAGAACAAACTTTTTCCGACCAATCAAATTGAAGTGTGACATGGCTGCATTTGATTGGCCAGAACATGTCACTTGCACACGTGGCGTGATTTCATTAGCCTTTTAATGTGACTTGGCATGCCTTGTCATTTTGAGACGTGGCATGATCCTATTGGCTCTTTCGCTTGACTTGGCGTGCCATGTCATATGACACGTGACAGCAAAATGGGCCTCTAGGAAGATGATATCTTGGGCCTAATAAAATGGGCTCATTATTTGTAGCCCAATTAAGTGAGCCAGCCCAATAAATTTGGACTTATTTAAATTATATAATTAATCCAATAATATTAGCCCATAATATTTGTTTGGATTAATATAGTCCAAATTATTTTATTGAATAAATCCAATAAATTTTGCATGCTTATATTTACTTAAAAATTTAGTATAGTGAAAACTATATCATAAACAATAATGCACATATTAATGTCTTGATCTATTGATTTTCTTGATCGCCTCATTCTCCAACCATAAGTTAAGAAGCGGCTTAAAGTCTCTCCCAGGATATATATATATATATATATATATATAGTACACTCGAAATCTCTAGCTAGGGTATATATAGTACACTCGACATTGTTATAATAGATAGATCCTACAAGGATAGGACGTGATAAAATTAACCCAATTTCAATAAAGTAATATTAGAAATTACCAGTAACTTTTCAAAAAATAATTATATTTGCTTGCTTTTGAAAACTGTATTCTAAATGTAATGCACATACTAATGTACAAAAAATAAGTATCTCGCATATATTATTGACAGAGGAGAAATTATTACGTTGTAGTTCCTATAAAGGAGGGACATGTTAAAAACCATCCAATTATCAATGGAAAAAACTAATAAGATTTTTTCACATAATAATGATTAAAGATATATAAATACCAGTAATTTTTTCCAAAATAATTATATCCGCATTTCTTTCTGGCTTTATTCGTGATGGTACTTAAAGTCTAGAGTACTCCTCCAACTTTTTTGTGGTTGACATATTGGCAAACTAAATTAGATAAAGAGACAGAAACAACTAGAGCTATAAGGAGAATTCTGGAAGAACAACTTTACGTGGTACAGGTGTAAGGTTTAAATTCTCATATGAGGTTTTCTTTTTACCCGAAAAAAGTTCAAAATAATAATTATAAGGAGCGTTGAAACTGTATAGCAGTTATTACAGTTAACGATTGCCGTGATGGATATAATCTTTCAGTCTTAATTTTTAATTAGAGGTCTGCGAGCCTTGGAAGGGAAAAAATATTGATAGAGAGCGCTTCCCCTTTAATATTTTTTATGTAACGCGAATTCAAACTAATCAAGACTTTAATGCAACATCGGATGAAAAATAAAAAAGGTATAGCAGTTACCAAGAAAAAGAAAACCTCATTATGCTTAATTAACTTCTACGGATCTTCAAGTCATGTAGTTGAGGAGTTAAGTTTGTGCATGAGAGCCATGTGAAATGAAACTAAAAGTCGGCATTTGTACTAATTTTGTCTGTATGTTAGAACGAATATGCGTATGGTACACTCTTTTATGACAGTTCCTGGCCACTAAACTTAGACACGAGAGTAACAAACTTCGAACTGGGAAAAGAACGGGTACAACTCGTGTTAAACTTTAATTTCGTTACAGCCAAAATTTCTGGCCCTACTAAACACCAACCCGACATATCACCAAGTGAACAACAATCGAGAAGTTACCAAGGGAAGGAGACCTCCATAGGCGGAGTCAGCACTCCAGGCTTATGGGTTTACAAGTTTAATTATTTTAAATGATTATGTTCTAAATTAATAATTTGTATATTCAGTAATCTTTTAAAAATAAATATAAAATTTGAGCCAAAGATATTAGGTTGGGCCGAACTCGTTTTCGTCGCTCTAATTCCGCCCCTGCTCACGAGCACATAAAAACCTAATAGCCTTCGGTGATTGCCACTACTTCCTGCCAAATCCAAAATAGTTTTGGAGTTTGTGCACATATCATGTGCTCCAATGAATGGGTTGTCCATTCAGGACTTTAAATAACTGGAGTTAAAATATAAATAACTAAGCTTGCAATGAAACGTGCAGTGTACTTTTCGGACTAATAGGTGTCAATTGATTCCCTTTGCCAATGAGTGGCTCCGCCACGGGGTTGACATAAAAAAGTTGCCATGCTCAAGCTAGGAAATAATTTAGTAACTATTTTAATAGAAGAAAATGACATAGCAAAAGTCTCCTGTAGTTTAGTTGGGATCTTTTGCGATGGACCACTAAACCGATCTCCTCAATCCTCATGGAAAATGAGAGAAAGGGACAGGATAGAGAAGAAGTAGATGGGGAAGGTTTTAGCAGTACTGTCCGAGAAACATGAGTTGAGTTATATTTACTACTCTGAAAATTAAGAATATACAACAGGACTATCTGAGAATCAAGAGTTGGAGTTACTACTGAATTATGTATCATATCATTAAGACATATCTAAGTTGAAAAAATTACACGATAATATGTTTTACAACATAAATAGAACGAGAAGATAAGATCCCGGTAACATGCTGAAAAACTGCATGCTACAAGGTATTTCGCATCCATTTTGCACAAGTTTACAGCCGAGATTTGTTTAGTGCATGAGGGCCACTGCAGCTTCTTGCACTAAAGGCTGAGTTATATGCACAAAATGTTCTGCCTCTTGCTCTAGTTGTTCCTGACAGCGGTGCGCGTCCTTTCCTTCTTTCATTTTCTTCACAAAAGCGACGAATCGCCTCCAATTATCAGGATGGAACAGGTCTGGATTCATCCTCAAATAAGTAAATGCACACATCTCTCTGTCACTTGATTGATCATCGATATTCAATGAGGATGCTTGAAGGATCTGTTCATGTGCATAGTCGTCATATCGTGGCAATGCATTCTCCCCAGCAAGTGGAACTTGAGCTTCCTGAGTTGCTAACGCCACTTGCCTAACCAACTTTTCGGGTGCACATTGCGCATCTTGTGGCTGCTCATGGTCTCGCATCTCAACACATGTGAAGTTGAAAATTGCACCGTGGCGGGCAAGCATCTGGGCAATGGGAAGGTAACCATCACGGAAACGGGTGTTGTAGTACCCAGCCGTGAGCTCAGGGGCATGGGACCTTGTTCCATAGTGCCAGTGAATGCCTGCGATCTTAACTGAAATCTTAACGCCCTTGTCATGGAATATTGCCTTGGCTGATTGCAATATCCTCTCACCATGGTTCAAAAGCATTTGAGAAT